ATTATCTGCAGTGATTTTGAAGCCCAAGAAAATAAAGGCTGTCACTTTTTCCCCATCTGTTTGCCATGAAGTGATGGGACCAGATGCCATGATCTGTTTTCTGAATCTTAAGTTTTAAGCCATTTTTTTCACTCTCCTCTTTCACTTTCATCAAGAGGCTCTTTAGTTCTTCACTTTCTGCTCATAAGGGTGGTGTCGTCTGCATATCTGAGGTTATTGATATTTCTCCCGGCAATCTTGATTCCAGCTTGTGCTTCATCCAGCCCAGCGTTTCTCATGATGTACTCTGCATATGAGTTAAATAAGCAGGGTGACAATATACAGCCTTGACATACTCCTTTCTCAATTTGGAAACAGTCTGTTGTTCCACGGCCAGTTCTAACTGTTGCTTCTTGACCTGCATATAGATTTCTCAGGAGGCAGGTCAGGTGGTCTGGTATTCCCCATCTCTTTAAGAATTGTCCACAGTTTGTTGGTGATCCACATTGTCAAAGGCTTTGGCATAGCCAGTAAAGCAGAAATAGATGTTTTTCTGGAACTCTCTTGCTTTTTTGAAGATCCAACAGATGTTGGCAATTTGATCTCTGGTTCCTCAGCCTTTTCTAAAACCAGCTTGAATATCTGGAAGTTCACAGTTCATGTACTGTTGAAGCCTGGCTTGGAGAATTTTGAGCATTACTTTGCTAGCATGGGAGATGAGTGCAATTGTGTGGCAGTTTGAACATTCTTTGGCATTGCCTCTCTTTGTGATTGGAATGAAGACTGACCTTTTCCAGTCCCGTGGCCACTGCTGAGTTTTCCAAATTTGCCAGTATATTGAGCACAGCTCTTTCACAGCATCATCTTTTAGGATTTGAAATAGCTCAACTGGAATTCCATCACCTCCACTAGCTTTGTTCATAGTGATGTTTCCTAAGGTCCACTTGACTTCGCATTCCAGGATGTCTGGTTCTAGGTGAGTGATCACACCATTGTGTTTATCTGGGTCATGAAGATTTTTTTTTATAGTTCTTGTGTGTATTCTTGACACCTCTTCTTAACATCTGCTTCTGTTAGGTCCATACCATTTCTGTCCTTTACTGTGCCCGTCTTTGCATGAAACGTTCCCTTGGTATCTCTAATTTTCTTAAAGAGATCCCTGTCTTTCCCATTCTATTGTTTTCCTTTGCATTGATCACTGAGCAAGGCTTTCTTATCTCTCCTTGCTATTCTTTGGAACTCTGCATTCAAATGAGTTATCTTTCCTTTCTTCCTTTGCCTTTTGCTTCTCTTCTTTTCACAGCTATTTGTAGGCCTCCTCAGACAACCATTTTGCCTTTTTGCATTTCTTTTTCTTGGGGATGGTCTTGATCACTGTCTCCTATACAATGTCAGGAACCTCATTCCATAGTTATTCAGGCACCCTGTCTATCAGATGTAATCCCTTGAATCTATTTGTCACTTCCACTGGATAATCATAAGGGATTTGATTTAGGTCATACCTGAATAATCTAGTGGTTTTCCCTATTTTCATCACTTATGGGGTCGCAAAGAGTCAGACATGACTGAGTGATTGAAATGAACTGAGCTTCATCACTTATTTGCTTATAATCTGGGAAGTTACTCAACCTCGGTGTTTCTCAGCTGTACAATGAGAATGGCAACGTTGCAATGAGAAGTTAAATATCACTGGTGCTAAGATAGAGGCTAATAGAGTCAATTAATAGTAATAAGAGTTATTTAAAAAATCTGTTTAAACCCATGGTCATGACCCTTCTTCTTTATGTATAATATTTTTTAACATCTTCTAGAACTATAAGTCCTTGAAACACATTTTGAACAACGCTAAAGTTAGGGTAGTGGTAAATCGTAATTAAGCAAAAAATTATTCATTGTATTAGTGCCCAAAGCACAAAAAACGTCAGCTACTTCACCACATGTGAGCCCACTGGCTTGCTCTTATGTTCTACTATCAGAACAGGAGAGCAACTGTGTTAAGTGTAAAGATCTCACCCCATGGAAGTTCTATTCACTGGAGTTATTTACATACAATTCATGCATTAGCACAGGTCAGTTTATTGCATTAGATTATTTGCATGTAACTAAAAACTGAGCCTTGAAGGAAAGGGATATCAAATGATAAAAACCTTAATGACTATAAAGTTTTTAGTCATTAAAACCTTAGCAGAGAGAAAACTGAACATATGGCTCACTGATGGGGTCTGAGAAGAGAAGGGACATTTATATGATGTTTAGACATTTCCTAGTGCTAACTGAAAACAATTTGTGTGAGTTTTCACAATGGAAAAATAAAATAGCGAAGAACAATAAGGAAAGATGAGAGCTTCATCCAAGGAAAAATATACTACAAGTTCACAACAAAATGCAAAGCCCTCCCTGGTCTAAACACCACCATGGTGCCAACAAACTTCTCTACTCTTGTCCAGAAGATAAAAAGCTTAGGCAAAAGAGCAGAAAAATGAGCAGTGAGCTAATTAATCTGATACATTTTAGAAGTCCATTTATTTATTCTCACATTTGCAACTGTATCAGGTTGCTGACTTCTCTTCTTTTAAAGAATCCTTATTTTTTAATATCATCAGAAATAAATGTAGAACAGAAAAAAATTATTCACTCATAATGCCTTCTAAAAATTAAAAAAATATTTTCAATTATTCCTATTCCCTTTAAGTCTTCTAATCACATTTGATTTATACACAGATATTTTTATATGTAAATACAATTTCAAAGTCTGTTTTCCCACTTAACATTGTATCTTCAGTTTTTTCTCATGATACAGAGAAGTCTTTAAAATAATCATTCCTAGTACCTCAATGGTTATATTCTTCCAAGATCAGATATGCAAGTGATTTCTAATTGTACTGTTAAAAACCAGATTTTTTCATTCATACAGTTAGTTCTTTCTTTTAGTTTAGTGGTTTCAAACTTTAGGATGCATCAGAATCATCTAGAAGTCTTGTTAAAGTACAGGTGTCTGGGCCCCGCCCTCAGAGCTTCTGATTCAATAGGTCCTAGGTCTGGAGACAGTCTCAAGAATTTGCATTTCTAACCATTTCCCAGATGATACTGCTGCATATCTGAGGACCAGTTTTTAAAATTATTGTTAGATTGTTTACATGGAATAGTATTGTTAAAGTATTTACATGGAGTTGCATTGGGGTCGACAAATCAAATAGTATAGACATTTTCATGGCATCTAAGACATATTTCTGAAAACCTTCCTACAAGCTTATACAGTTTTATATTGCCAAGTGATTTTTCAGTACTTGAAGCCTGGTTAGTTACCAACTAATTGAATGAACAAAAGAACAAAGGAAAATTCTTACCTCTCTCCTCCACAAGACCATGACATTAGGCTGAAAGTCATCTATTTACATTTCAAAGATACACAGCATGGCTAAATAGAAATACCTAAATCTATGTTACTACAGAAGTCAACAAGGAGGTTTCATCATCACTCCAAAGACAGTGAAAAATAATTGATATATTTAAACCTTAGAAGAGAGCAAATTTTTATCTGTACCATAGACAGAAATTGACTGCATTTAGCTTTGTTGGTCTATTAGGTAGTTCAAAAACAGTGCTGCTCATTGGAAGGTATAATGCAAAATCTGGGGCGTTGAGAAATTGTTTTTGATAAACTAGAAACAAGAGAATTCCCACTGTAGCAGGGGATTATTAGCATATTTGCCTAAAAGTGACAGCTAAAAACCTTGAAGATATCTCCTTGTACTAAAGGATTCTTTATATTGGGTAGAGATTTCTCCCTCACCTTTAGAGACTTATGCATATAAATCAACATATCTACATAAGCATATAGATGTATTTACATAAGTAAACATTAGATAGCCGTGTATGCAAAGTATCCAATCATACATTGGTTTCTACAAACCCACAGATAAAGCATACGCTTAGCAAAGATATCATGTGCAGAAACGTCTTCTGGGCTCTTTCTCAGTAATCCATACACATTCTTAATTTTTCATTCTTATTGGTTGTTATCGTATTGACTAAAATGCGTAATGAGAAAATGTGTTCACAGTAACAAAAATGCATAATAATCATAATCCATACATAAGTAAAGTCATTGGGTGTTGTCAACAAACTTTGGAATTTGGTTAGACGTGAAATTGTTAACTCTAGCTTATGCTGAGAACAGTAAATCATCAGTAAATGTGTTAGATACAGAATTACTAAAAGAACCATGTAATTATGACTTTCTAAGGAATAGTGCTTTCTATGTAAGTGTTTTTTAGGGATTGTTCTCTCTTGGTCTTAGTAAAAGCAACAAACATTTTGAGAGATTAAATTTTCTTGATGATTAACAAAACAGATCATAGCCTGAAATGTTACTTTATTAAGTTAATAATTACAATCAAAAATTGTTCATGACATCTAGTCAGATTTTTAATTAGGATGACTGAAAAATGGTCAGAGGCCATGAAATCATTCATTGGCACAGGCCCCCTATTTCTTTATTCTAACCCAGAAAACCAGTAAAATAATGGCAGTCATCATTTAATCACTCTATTGTAATGAGTTTTGACTTTCCTCACCCTGCTTCATAACCCAAACTTTTTCAAAAGTCATAATCAAATAATTTGAAAGTTATCAGGACCTATGGGTTGATCATTTCCCAAACTTAAAATATGGAAAACCAGGGCAGAATAGTGTTTCTTATTACCCAATGAAGCAGATTTAGTTCCTTCGAAAGTAAATGCCTAGACCAAAAAGGAATTTGTTTTCTCTTCTTTTCCTCATTCAATTTGATTCTATGATCTGTTTGGTGTACATGTAAAAAGATAAAGTTGTATATATTTAGCGCTCAGCAGTAATTATATATGATAATAAAATTTCCATACCTCATGTCTTCAAACCCAATTGTAAGCACCACCTGGGAAGTTCCTGCTTAGTTACTGGTCATATTTTCCCTGTAACCCGCAACTCAAGTTCTGTATATGCTCAGGGGAACAAGCTGTCAAGTGAAAGTGAAAATTTACCCTAATAAAAAGGATCTTCTCTCCCACACGGTATCTTCCTTGAGAGAGCCTCTCCACGCAGAACTTGCTTGGGCATTTGCAAGGAGGATCTTCAGAAATCCGCTTCACCTGAAATAGAAGAGCTGGCAAGTTCATTCTCCTTAATCAGATTCCATTTAGATTAATTTGTTTCACGGGTTCAAAGGTCCCTAAACCATTAACGCGTTTAAATGTGTTCTCTATGAGACTATGGACATGATGTGAGCACAGAAATATCATATTAAATTTTAACTATGTAAAGGTCAGGCCCTGAAGGCACTTTGTGCAGGCCGGTAACTGCACTAAGGCCTAACTGGCTGATGCCAGTGATTTAATACTGGAGGATAATCGGGAGCAAATCAACTGGCAGTGTAGGGATGATGTGCTGGGTTCTCATGTTTAGTGAATTAAGAAGATTGTGTACACTGTGTTGCCAAGAAAGTCTACTGATGGCTAGAACAGCATCTATATTAACATAGTGCATATGCTTCCCTATCATAATTTTAATATTAATTTTACCCATTTTCAAAACAAATGAGAGTTTAAATTTTATTATTATTTTAAAATGAGACTACTGCTTCACCTTATTTTGAACTCTTTTTGTCATCTTTAATTCATCCAGACTATTCTGGCAATTCACTCCTCAGTAATTCCCATCTTCCAAGACCCATTCTCATAGCAGTATCTTACAGTTTATATGTATTTTATAGAATCCATGTCTATCAAGTTTTCTCTGTTTTATCTCCATGTGCATGCATGCTAAGTCATTTCAGTCATGTCTGAGTCTTTGTGACCCTATAGATAGATTGTAGCCCATCAGGCTTTTCTGTCCATGGGGTTCTCCCTACTCTTAAAAAAATACATATACTAAATGATAAATGCAAAATGCTTATAAACAGTTGTGGCTACTAAAGACAATATATAGTCCATGATCTTAGGAATAAGGTTTATTTATGTTTTCCTTTGTTGGGAACCTGCCGTGCCGTGTCTCATACCTGTCCTCTCTTAAAGTAACCAAACCAACCAGACAATAGAGGCTTCCCTGATAGCTCAGTTGGTAAAGAATCTGCCTGCAATGCAGGAGACCCCAGTTTGATTCCTGGGTCGGGAAGATCTGCTGGAAAAGGGATAGACTACCCACTCCAGTATTCTTGGGCTTCCCTGGCAGCTCAGCTGGTAAAGAATCCACATGCAATGCGGGAGACCTGGGTTCAATCCATGGGTTGGGAAGATCCCCTGGAGAAGGGAAAGGCTACTCATTCCAGTATTCTGGCCTGGAGAATAACGTGGACTGTATCGCCCATGGGGTCGCAAAGAGTCGGACACTACTGAGTGACTTTCACTTTCACAACCAGATAATCCAAGATAATACCTTGTGTATTGAGTCAAAGTTTCCATAGATGGCAGATCTAAATCAAGCTCAACCTACATCTGAGAAGCTGCATGGAATAAATTTAGGTTCTGAATGTATTGGCTTGGGCACCCCTCATCCAAATCCTTACTTCCACAAAGACATGATTCCTAGATTTTTGTCATCAAAGAAGTTCAATCATTTCTTCAAATAGTTCAGACTCAAACGTCTGACTTCAATCAGCACTCCACTAAGAAAAACTGTGGGAAGGGCAACACAGGAACTCACTCGAATGCCGGAATAAAGGACTTACACCACTTGGTTTCCCTAGAATAAGTGAGGCTCCAGAAAGCATGAAAGCATAAGACATTAGAGGGGAAAGCTAGAAAAACTGGGGGAATCCTGAAGCAAAATGTATCTTAAGAGCTATACAATTATGGGGTCTTCACTGGTGGTCCAGTGGCTAAAAACTCTGCACTCCCAAGGTAAGGAATGAGGGTGTGATCCCTGGTCAGTGAGCTAAAATCCCACATGCCTCAAGGGCCAAAAAAACCAAAACACAAAACAGAAGCAATACTGTAACAAATTTAGTAAAGACTTTAAAAATGGTCCACATTAAAAAAGAAAAATTAAAAAAAAAAAGAACTATACAATTATGTCTCATGAATGCCTGGAAAGGAAAACCAATACTACTGCTGGGAAAAAGAGAACAAATTTCAGGATATATATTTTCATCAGCTCCCTCTAGAATTCCTAATTCTGTCAACATATAAAGCTACAATTCTTGTTACTTATTTGTGTTACAGCACATTGCATCTCAGTGGCTGGTTCACCATAATGTCTCTTTGCTAGACTGTGAGTTACTTGAGGATTGAGATAGTACTTCATTATAGTTTTAAATCCTTGAAATAAAACACACTGCCTTAATGGCATATAATACGTGTTCAATAAATACACATTGAATAAATAAGCATAGGGACTTAGACAGGACACAAGAGCAAATTAGTGTGACAGATCAACTGGATTCAAAGAATTTTAGAGATGGCCGTCATTGAAAAAGTGAAATACCTAATTATGTTAGTGATTAGGCCCATGTCTTTGAGTTCTGAGTTTTTCCTACCATATGATAGTTGGGCTATAGATACATCTACCCACTCCTCCAGTATTAATAGAATTCTATCCCTAGGGATTTTTTTTAAGAGATATTCTTGAACAAGATGGCGATAATAGAACAAGAAGTATGATATTCCCTTCTATAATGCAGAACCATAGTTTGGAGTGGAGGTGGTTATAGGACCAATGAATGTGTACTGTTTCAAATGTTTTAAGTATTCTGATATGTGTATCTCTTTCTATATGTATTTATAAACATGTTTTAAAACTATAAATACATATGTAAATAAACTGTGTTTATTGAATACAATTGCTAGAAGTAGTACAGTTTTTCTTAGTACCACAATAATTCCATGAATAAAGAAAGAAAGAAGGAGGGAGAGGAGAAAGGATGGAGGAAAGGAGAGAGACTTTGGCCACCTGCCCAAAAAAATATCCAACAATCAGCATCATAAAAGCACATGGCCCAAACTTTAAGAGACTCATGCTTGGCATAGCTTTTCTGCAGCTTAGTAATTGAGCAGACATTAAATTGCTATTCAAGTGGTTCCTCTGCTAAGAAATGACAGTCACAAGTATGTATGGAAAGTATTTCCATCCTGAAGTGTTTTTAGACAAAATACAGAAACTGTTGGTATCAAATGAAAGAAAATACAAGAAACATTTTCTCAAGTGGTCTGTCCTTCTCTAATGTCTTCCTAAGCTTTGAAAATACACTTGCTTTTTTTTTAAATCAAGGGCTTTTGTGTAGTTGTGTGAGAGCTGGAGGCAGAAATGGAAGAGACAAGGCCAAACTATGGGTAATGGAAATATATTGTTAAGTAAACAGTGACTGATGACACCTGTGCTTCTTACATTACCTTGGGATAAGTCAGTCTGGCAGGTGTTCCGTTTTTGGCCAGGAACCCAGCCAGTATTCTGCTGAAATGGGATTTCAAGAGGAGCCTGATTACTCAGAATTATCCTATCTCTCATCCCCAGACTGAGGAAGTTGATGGAGAAGAGGAAGAAACTAAGACTGGTTTCTTAGAACTGTATTCAACTCATTGTGTGGGAACAGGCTCAACACAAGGGAACTAAACCTGACCCCATCATTTTATCACAGCTGAGTCACTTTATCAGGACATCTGGGGAATAAATTAATCTGAATGACTCCACTGTGTTCTGTTCCTCTTAGGATGTCTTGCTTGATTAAAGAAGGTGGGATGTATTACCCACATTAAGGGTAACCTATTTTTTTCCCCCAATTTTCCACAAATCTCCTAAGTAGCAAACAAGGAAATGTGAAGATGCATTGAAAGTTTCTAAACTGGCAGTTATTGTTGGAACTATTCACTGGAATATGACATTTTAACACAGGTCTGTGTCTCTTTTTTTTTTCTCCTTTCTTTACTCTTTTCTCCATTTTTTTCTTTTTCTTCTTCACTATTCTTCTTGACTCTTTTCCCCCCCTTTTTTGATATAAAAAATTTCTCTAGAGTATAAATATTCAATATTATTAAATAAACACAGGAACTTTGCAAGCAATATTTTATACCCCCACTCTAAAGCACATGTTGGAGTATGTGAATTGCAACTCCCCAATGGCTATCTATGCCTCATATGCAGGGAAGCAGTTGCCATACGAACTATTTCTTTTTCATATTTGACATATGAAGCTCTGATTTAAACCATTAGAGAGGCCCAAATGGTTTTTCTCTCTGTTCTACTGTCCCTGAAATAAAACACTTTGGTGAAAAACTCTCACTTAAACAGAATGCAAATATTTCAGTGCAGTTTCCCCAGTGTAGAATGAAGGAGACTTTAACAGGCTTCTGTGGCCAAAGAAGCCTGGAAAATTCCAGGTTAAACAAGATCTTATTATAGAACTCATTAGTGCCTTTCATATGCCAGAATGCATTGCCAAACTCTAGGTAGGGACTATAGTAAGCTGTATTTCTTAAACTAACCTATCCATGGAATTATTCATGCCATGGGCCATCTGGTGGTGTGAGCGTTTGATTAAACATTCTTTGAGAAATGCTGGTTTGAAGATTGCACACACAGCATTAGCTGGCAACAATACATAAGAATCCACTTAGCACATTTCCTACATTCGATGAAAACCCCCTAACTATATAGACGGTTATGTTCCCGAGCCCTGAAAAACTTCAAAGGGAGTTTAAAGCTTCTCAAAGCCCTTCCCTGTTTCCAGCTGCGAGAACAGAACTTGGCATTGCGAGAGCAGCCACAAAATGAGTCTTGCCATTTTGAAGACAGTCCCTAACTCACGTATGTGCTCTGAACTGAGTTATTGGTAAGACTTCTCCAAAATCCTTTTCAGAGTTGCTTCACCACCTTCTTCCCCTGTCCTTCTCCCCTTCTCGAGGATGAGGGGTGGCCGCACGGGAGACAAGCTGGTGAAGAAAGGGAACCATTCTAGCTGCCTTGCCCAGGCTCAGGTAAACAGCCCCAGAGGGCAACATCACCTCCTCCTTCTGCTAAATTACAGCAGAGTTGAGAAATGCACATTTTTCCAGAGCACAAGGCCATTCCAGATAAACAGAAAAAGGGAGAATCTTCTTTAAGCTTTGATTACTCACATTAACAATGTATCCAATTAGCATGGCACTAGATATAGCTGAATAAAATATGGTCCTCGTCTTTGAGAACAAAGGCAGTACCTAGAGAAGAATAGGTATTTATGCCCAATATGATAAACACTTCACTAAATGTATAAAAACACTTGAGGAACCAAGGACACATTTGTCAGCTTTACTGGGAATGAGAGATGAAAAGAAAACTTTCTATAGAAGACCGCACAACCTGCATTTTAGAAGATGAAAGGGTGTCTAAAAGTAGCAATCAAAAATGAGAAGGGTGAGGAAAGCAAATGAGGAAAAACACAGGGTATAAAATAATCCTTGGGCATTTGGGCTTAGAGGACACGTTTACAATAGATACATTACTATGTAAGAATGAACCCAGAGTGTAAAAAAGGCTGGGAAAGACAAAATGGGCCACAACATGGAGGCCTTATGTGACACGTACATGAGTTTGGGCTTTACCCTGGACATTATAGAGCTCCTATAAAACTTTAATCAATTCTGAATTCCCTTGAGGTTGATCTTTCTGGTAGCAATTATGCTTGTGGAGAATTAAGAGAACAGAGTGGTCAACAGTGTCAGATACACCGGAAAGTGGTCTCATAATTTGAGGACTAAAATATTCATTTGATTCACTAATTCATTCATAAGGAGGTTAAGGGTGATGCTGGCCAGACCTCTGACTATAATGCATTAAAGAAAGTGAATGAAGGTAACGGCTTAGAGAAAATGACTAAGATCAAACAGAGTAGCCCCAGAAAAACACTTTTATAAGAGACTAAAAGGAAGATCTTACTCTAAATGAAGTCTAATCAAAAAAGTATAATTGAGAAAAAGGAAAAAATGTTCTTATCAATATATAATGTGCCATTACATACTATTAAAGCAAAGTTACTCAACTACCTTACAAAATAAAAATGCAATAGTAGGATGCAAAGCATGTGACTGATCTTTAAAACACATTCCTGTGATTTTAACATCCTTTTAGGTGCATTAGATTGAAATGCCCTGCCTGTCCTTTCATTTCTGAGTGGACTGAACATAGGAAAACTAAATTAAACTGGTGTCGGATAAGATAGCTTGATGGGCTAAGCGTATATGTGCTGTCCTTAGCAGAAATGGGAATTCTTAATCTATCAGACAAATTGTTATATTTCTGTTCATCTAAATCTGCAATATAGGTTATAGTGTCACATGAAAGAGAATAAAAGGTGGGGGGAATCTTTCTATATCCAATAGCACCAATCAGTCATTTCCCCAGATCTTTTCAGTTCAGGCCCTAGGGAAAGAAACTCTCAGCTAAGAGCCAGCTGTCCTTTTCAGTTCTGCCTATTCCTCATTATGGTTGGTGCTAGCTTCTAAGAACCCTCCCCATGTATGTGAGACATACTGTACCAAGGGATCTTATCCATGTATGTGAGACATACTTCAGTCTAACATCCCCAAAGTTTCCATTGTTCATAAAACTCAGAGGCAGTTTTGACATTTACACTCAAAACATATGTGCTGAGAAGTAAATGCATCCATGTAATCAGACACACCACTAACAACCAAGAATGAATTAAGAGACAACAGAAGTAGCCAGAGAATTTTACTTCATCCTGTTTACTGTTACACCCAGAATCTGTTTTCTGTATGAGGATGTAATGAAAATATGTCCTAATCTGCCAAAGACGGTGACTCAAGGACTCTGTTAAGTAGAGGGAGGGTGACCTCAGAGAGTTAGACAAAATTGGGTTGCAATCTAAGCTTCTCTCTTCCTCTCAGCAGGTAATTCAACTTCAAGTCTTAGGTTCCTCAATAAGAAACCTGCCTAACAAAATCACCTGAAGAACAATGGCAGACCACCCCTCACCCTAGTGCAGAGTCAGTAAAGGACAATTATCTTCTCCATTGCATTTTGCCTTTCCTTCTTTAACAGTCCTTAAGATCCCATGCCTTCAGATTTCTTATCAATGAACAAGGGAGCAGGAACCAATAGTATCAAGGCTTAAGTGTTTTCAAAGACAATTTTCAGGAGCTGCACTTATTATCCTAAAATTTAAGGTACTACTCAGCAGAATTAAGTGATGCTGTACTTTAAATAAGATAAGTGGCTCAGTTTTGAATCTTGAAGTGAATTGCAGGACTATGAACTTTCTCATAGACTCTAAAAGAAATTTCAGTAACATTGAAATAGGTAGAGGTGAGACAGGAGACTGAATAGAATGAGTTTTGAAGTTCAAAAAGGAGCAAGTACTGGTAAGAAACCTGATGAATATTACTTACTGCATCATCCAATAAGTTTCCTGTACTCTTTTTTCCAGAAGACTTTGAAGAAGGAGAAGGTGAAGGAGAAGGGGCGGAGAGTGTTTCTTCTTGTTCTATCTCTTTTTCCAATTTTATCAAACCAGGAGGCTCCACACCATACCTTTTTAAAAGACACCAGACAAGTAAACATGCATAACTTATAATAATGATACACTTGACATACACTGCAATAAATTATGAACACCATAGGACAAAATTGCTAACTTTTCAAAATAACACTAATTTCTTTTCTGACATTCTGGTAGGTACTTAAATTGGCACCCTTTTAAACAGGAAAAAAAATTTATATATACACATACATACACATACATATATACATATAAAATTATATATATATATACACATACTTATGTATACGCACACACACACATATGTTTACATGTTTATAGCTATATGTGCTCAGGGTCCTCAGTTGCTTAGTTGTGTCTCTTTTGCGACCCCCTGGACTGTAGCCTGCCTGGCTCTTCTGTCCATGGAATTTTCCAGGCAAGAATACTGGAGTGGGTAGCCATTTCCTCCTCCAGGGAATCTTCCCAACCCAGGGATCAAACCCATATCTCTTGCAGTTTCTGCGCCGGCAGGCAGATTCTTTACCACCACACCATCTTGGAAGCCCTCCTGGTTCACAGACTGTGTCTTTTCGCTGTCACTTCGTGTGGCAGAAAGGGTAAGGGGTCTCTGTGAGGTCTCTTTTATAAGAGCACTGATCCCACTCATGAGAACTCCCTCCTCATCCCCAAAGCCCTGCTTCCTCATATCATCATAGCAGGCATTAGGTTTCAACAAACTATTTGGCGGGGGGGGGGGGGGGGCGGGCACAAACATTAAGCCCAGTGTAAAGTCCTAACTTCTAGTCCCTAATTTCAGAATGTGACTGAATTTGGAAATAGTCTTTCCAAGGAGGTAATTAACATAAAATGAGGTCATTAGGGTGGGGCCTATTCCAATATGTCTGGTATCTTTATAAGAAGAGGAAATTTGGACACAGACAGATACAGAGAGATGTCCATGTGAACATGCAGGGACATGACATCTACCAGCCAAAAGAGATACCTCGGAAGAAACCAACCCTGCTGACACCTTGACCTCAGAACTATAAGAAAAGAAATTTCTGTTTAAGCCATGCAATCTGTGGTACTTTGTTAAGGCACCCTAGCAAACTAATGCCGTCAAGAATTTGCCAAAGTTTCATTAGTCACTGGCATACTGCTATAAGTTTTAGAGGAAACCTACACTCTAGAAAACCAAAAATGTTAAATTTTATGTCAAAATATCTGCTGAGCAGATTTTTAATACATCATTTTATAATGAAATGTCATTAACATTTTAACATAATTTTATTATAATACTGAATAATTCTCTGGAATTTATCTTTTATACTTTTTCTTTCCTAAATGAGATTAAAATCTGTTAATAGTAAAAGGAGATGTATACCTTATAATACAGTACACAGCATATAAATAAAATCTTAAAAGTATTTGATAGTTAATTATATCTCAACATTTAGCACTTAATGAATCAGTTTCTATATACTGCTTTCAATCACTTTCTATTAACTGCTTCCAAAACTTGCAAAGGCGTAAAAGAGGTTGAGGGTATCCACATAGAGGCTGATAGCAGCTAATACATACTCTTCAGGTGACAGTCTATACATGAGTGTGTGTGTCATAGACGATGAATCTGCAGAAAAGAAGGGCTCCTGCAAGAGCCAAGGGGCTTCCCAGGTGGCACAATGATAAAGAATCTGTCTGCCAATGTAGGAGACGCAGGAGACACGGGCTTCAGTCCCTGGGTTAGGAAGGTCCCCTGGAGAAGGAAATGGCAACCCACTCCAGTATTCTTGCCTGGAAAATCCCATGGACAGAGGAGCCTTGCAGGCTACAGTCCATGGGGTTGCAAAGAGTCGGACATGACTGAGCACACATACACAGAAGCCAAGTCTAACTCCATTGTTTCGCCATAAAAAACATCTTCAAGGTTCCTGACAAGCACAAAATCCACAAGTCAGAAAATAGGCCTGCTCCAAATTTGCTGCAATCTCTCTCAGATTGCAGAGTATACACAGTTGAACCAGGAAATACTGCACGGGTCAGTATAAAATCTTGCAGGACAATATATACATCACAGAAAGTAGCAATGAAGGCCACAGTCAGAGCTTCCAACAGTATAAATACAAAAAGCAGGTATGGGTTAAGGGGATGCTTAGGTCTGTTTAAAGTCATGGCTAAAATCAGACCCAAAGATCCAAGAGGAAACACCAAAATTAAGGCCAGGCTTTCATGTACAAAGGTCCATTTGGTATTAAAAAAAAAATCAGATATCATTGTAGTTAAAAGTTAGTTGCAGCTATATATGAAAATATACATGAACAGACTCATAAGAACCTACAAAAATAAATTAAAAGTCTCCATGTAATAAATAGATGAGTCAATAACATGAATTACCATGTTTTAGATTTTACTAGCTTAAATTTCAAATTTTAGATTTTAGATTTTACTAGCTTTAAATCTCAAATTTTGGATTTACTAGCTTTAATGATATTAGTGCTGTAACTGAACTCCTATTTTTAATATAAATTTTTTAAAGATGGAAATAAAGTCAGAGTCAAGTTAAAAACAGCAAACTCTCCAAATAAAAGTTCTTAAATGAGTTTATAGGGAAGAAATTCACTGTTAACTGTATAACTTTATGTACTCAGAATAATGTAGAATGGGTTACACAGCATCATCAATTATGCTCTCAGGAACAACATAATGAAAGTGCTTATAGTGTTAGTGAGAAAGAAAATGAATACAGAGAAACAAAAATAATTTAAAATAACAATATGTTAAAATTATATGCTGTAAATTATAAATGTCACAGCAGTTTAAAGACAGAGCTATAGTTGTTAATAGCATTCGTCTCTCTCCTAATTATATTTTCCTTAGAGTAAATCTGAAATTGATTTGATTTCCTAAATGCATATCAATTGTATATTATAATGCCTAGATGGAGGAGACCAAAGATAATTCAAGAGGATCTTTGCATTCATGTAGTTATATCCTTTCAATTTTATAGAATAAATAAAACAGACCCAGAGAAAATACAGAACTAGCTAGGAGCAGGGCAAAGACACGATACAGGTTTTCTGACTTCAGGTTTTCTCTGATATTTCAATCAGGTGATCACATGTTGAAAAGAAGAGGAAAAAGTCACTTGGCAATTAAAAAAAATAGGCTATGGATTGCCTACAAAGTAAATAATCTATATACAGAGAATAAATATGTTGGCAATATGTCCAGTACGTTAGAGTGAGTGAATAGTATTTTAAAAACATTGTTAAATGTAAAAATTTAGATTATCACTCTCCTGTTCTAATGGTTTGCTCATTTAACTGACATCACACACACATCAAGTGCCCTTTGAGAGCTGGAAAACATACCAGAATTTGGTACAAAACAGTTTTAACTGGCACAACTCAAATAATAATTCCTGTTTTGATAACTGCTTCTAGTGAACAGAGTAATTTTTAGTTACATAAATCATTAGCTAAAAGACTTTAGGCACTATTTATCACATTTCAAACCTTTTAAACAGATTAGCCAGTTAATAGGACGTTTGTAGAAACATGCAATTGACTGCAGATTCTGTAACAGTAGAGACCACTGTCTGATTCACAGCCGCCTCAGCAGATAGTGCAAATCCTGGCACACAATAGATACTTAACAGCTACTGTTTGAATGGAAAAAAAATTCTGGATTCTCCTATAACAATGTATTCAGGTTCCAGAAATGAATCAGAGTTCATTGTTTTGGATCTTTAAATGTGTATCACTTTAATAAAACATATCAACATTAAATGTAAATAAGTGCCTTATCCCTAAAAAGTATACTTCTAGAAGACTTTAAACATTATTCAAAACTAAAATACAATTTTAACTTTCTAGAGCTCACTAATTACACTTTACTCAACACAGTGTCTCATACTGTTGACAAGTACCAACAATATTCACTAGGCAATCTGGGTATCATTCTTCCAAGGCAGACTTGAGCTGACTGTGCCATTAACCTACTCTTTAAATTTAGCAAATCACCTAACCTCTAAGAGTCTGTTTTCTATCAGGAAAACAGAGATGAAAGTGACCTGTCCTAGAAGTCTGATGTAGCAGAAGAGGGAGAGAGAGGGGGAGGCAGGGAAGGAGGGAGGAAGAAGAAAATTAAAAGAATAACTGTAAACTGAACGTCTTCCATGTGTCTGGATCATTGGGGCATCTTGATACACATTGTTTCTGAGTCTCAGTTTTATTTCACGAAAAAATGAAAATTCTAATTCCTGTGTTTCAATACAGTTAAAAGGAATGAAACAGTATCCATTACACACCCAGTACAGTGTCTGACACAGGGCACCACCTCTGAAATGGCTATTGATAACTGATGTATCAAAGCTTGCACAACCAGGAAACTGCAACATTGAGGTGCTTTTGCTGAAGTTTTAATTTTTAAAAATATATTATGCCATCCAATGATATAATGAAACAGCCTCATAATTAAGGTGGTGTTATTTATAATGAGAAATGGGATACTCCTGCTATATCAATAAACATGGATGTCACAATCATCAGCAATTCCAGTCCTTTCATATGAACTCCTGAGTCCTAAGGGCACTCAGGAAGGAAAGGATTACCTGTGAGCCAACAGCCATTAGACTGCAACCCCAAGGAAGCTCGGGATGTGAAAAACAGGATACTGGCCCCAGATAGCTGAGATGCATGTGATAAGGAATGATTTCAGTGAGCCCAGACTTTTGCATCTTCTCATATATAGAAAAACACCAAATTCCTTAACCTGAGATATCTGGCTTCCGTTAATTAAAAATAATCTTTTGATGTTCAGACTGTGTGTGTGTGTGCTAAGTCGCTTCAGTCATATCGGATTCTTTCCAACCCTATGGGCAGTAACTTGTCAGACTCCTCTCTCCATGGGATTCTCTAGACAAGAATCCTGGAGTAGGTTGCCATGCCCTCCTCCTGAACCACGGATCAAACCCGGCTCTCCGTCTCCTGCTTTGGCAGACTGGATCTTTACCATGGGCCACCGGGAAGCCCAAGATGTTCAGACTACT